CCCCGGCCTCTGAGAAGGACAAGGACCGAGACGCCGATGTGGGCAGCGGCTCCTGGGACCTAAGGTGAGCGGTGCCACTGACTCATAACCTCTGACCCCTGACCCAGGCCCCTGCAACCCTCCCTGTTCCGGGGCATGGCCGCGGCAGCGCCAGCTCCGAGTCCGGGAGCCTGGTCCCCGGACTTGGCGTAGCCAGGGGTGGCCCTGGGGCTCCCACAGGGAAACAGGTCTAGGGGTGCAGGTCGCCTGCCGGGGTCACTCAGGCGGGGGCGCCGAGGGGAGCCGGCAGCAGCCCCGCTTGCAGACCCTCCTGCATCTGCGCATCCTCAGGGGGGTCAGGAGCCGGGCGGCGTGGGGGGCTGGTCCCCGCCGAGCTCAGGTTCCCTCGGTTCGTCCGGAAGGAGACGGTTCGGATCTGGGTTTGCGATGAGGGTGGTCTCCTGAGGGCTGTGAGGGTGCCTTAGGGGTGGGGGGCCAGCAGGAGACGGGCTGCCTGAGGACGGGGGGAGGGGGCAGTGACAGGCTGTCCTCTGGAGGAGGAATCGGGGTCCCTTCCTTTCCCGGCGCTTTCATCCCTCGCCCAGCGCTTGGCGGGCTGGGGCCCTGCTGTTCCAGGAGGAGTGTTTGCTGTGGGGACCGCTGGGCCTTGGTTGGGTGCAGGAGGGGGGCCCACCCCCAGGTGGACAGAGAGGAAGGGACGGAGGAGCAAGTCCAGGCCGACAGGACCTGGCTGCCTGGCCACGGCTCCCCCTTCGCCGCCCCGGGGCTGTGGACTAGAGGTTATAGAGGAGGAAGCGGGCAGTCGGTCACCGGTTGGCAAGGATTTGCTCTCCGTGGTTGAGAACTGAGTCTTTCCTCACGGGCACCCTGGGGACGTGGTGGGCGAGGGCAGCTGGGGTGTGGGCACTGCACCTGCCCTTGGAGCGCTCACAGTCCACCTGAGCGATAAGATAATCCCCGCGGAGCAGGGTGAGCAAAGGTCAGACACGAAGTTCATGAAGGCTCTAGGGCCCTCTGCTAGCTCCCCGAGTTATCTTCTCCAGGGGGCGGGGGCATGGCTAGCATGATCTCTGGAGGAGGTGGAATTCCGACCTTTTGTGTGAGATGGGTGGGGGCGGGCATGCTGGCTCCACTCTGGGAGAGGCAGTCACTGTACATGGGCCGGAACCGGTCCTGTCCTTCGCTAGCTGGGCGAGGGGGAGCCCACCCTGGAGGCCTGGACCCCTGGGAACGGAGCAGACGGTGCCAGGGATGGGCTGCCCAGGGCTGGAGGGGGAGCTGGTGACCGCATTCCCTCCTGGTTTCCAGGCCATGTGTGCTTGTCTCTCAAACCAGGATGCCACAAGGTTCGGGGTCCCTGGGGCTGTGGCCATGGTTGGGGGGTGGGGGCTGGGGGGCTGAGCCTGCCTTGCTCTGGCTGCCTTCCTGGGATTGGCCTCTGGCACTAGGCCACCTGCCTGTCCTCCTCCCTGCTGTGTTGCCTGTTCTTTCCCCTTCCTGCCCCCCCCCCCCCCCCCCCCCCCCCCCCCCCCCCCCGCCCGCGCGGGGCGCG